TTCCGAGTGAGAAGGGAAAGGGAAAATTTTCACCCAAGGAAATGGCAGAACCAGTTTCCGAAAAGCACAAATTATTCCTGTAGTACTAATACCAGACCTGTATATCTCTGATGAGAACTAGAAATTCTTTAAAGAGAGAGGAATTTTTTTACCCAGTCTATCCCATGATACAGAAATAGAAATTTCACTGCATGAAGTAGTTTAAGAATTCACGGTATGGCAGACACTAAATACTAGCAACTAGAATATAATTCAGTTCTCAATCTGAAGAGGAGGTAAGGTGCCGAGAAGTGGCTGAGTAATCACTAAACTTCAGAAAAGGAGATTTCAATGTTAAGAAAAAGGTAATGGAATAGATCTGAAAGTCAAAAATAACTGAAATAAAATCTTTTGGTGTTTCATGGATACTACTTAAAAATATTATCACTAGATCTTGCAAAGTACTGAACAAAATGGGACCCATGAGGGAAAGTCATAAATCAGGCCAGCTGAATGCCATTTTTTCTAAGTGAAGAAAATAGATACTTTACATTTTAACTGCTGCTGTAGAGAAAGCCACAAAGAATGACTTTGTGAGGGAAATAAGTAAAAGGGAAATTGAAATTGCTGAGATTAATTAGAAGAGTAAATAACTAACGGTATGGAACAAAACTACTGTCTTCCACTTTGTTCAATGCAGGAAGCCTGTGGATATGCTTTGCTGGGTTTTGTGGCACCTTAGGGTTTATCTGTAAGTGTATCTCTTGTTTTTCAATTCTGACAGAAAGCACTCTAGTTTGTTCTCATCAAATGAGGACTTTCCAAAGTCAGCACCTTAATCCTTTTTAAACTGGCAGGAAACATTTCTTTGTCCTTTCATTTTCTAAGCAGCTCCCTTGAACTGTCCTGCACTCGCTGCTCTTTACTGACCTATTGCCTTTCTAGAGGTGGACCACAGTATAGGTGCCAGTTTGGCCTTGATTCTTGTAACTCCACTAGCCTAAACAGTCTCAGTAAGAAAACAGAAGTGAGGTTATTGTGCAAGGTTTAAAGTCAGACTTCTGTGTACAAAGGTAGAACCAGAAGCTTAAAAGTAATAATGAAGAAAAAAAAAACAGTAAGTCATTTGGTCCAGTGTTGTGAGGAAATTGCAGTGGGCTTAGTGCAGCTAATATGCAGTCTGTCATTAATACCAGGTATTTTACTAGAGGTATAGAACTCCACTAGACTTGTAACTATATATTTATATAATATATAAAGGCTCCAGAGTGATCAAGGAAATTAAAAATGACTGTGTCAGACAAACTGGTGGAAACAATAGTAAATAGAATAAAATGCTAGGGCTGTAATATCATGATACAGTAATGCATAGTTAACACTATTTCTGTAAAAAAGGATTACGTTTCACTCAACTGTTTTAGTATGTGTCAGTACAGCAAAGTAAAAGAGAAACCATGGCATCATTTTTTCAGGCTTGCAATGGTAATTTTCCAAATCTCTCTTGAAAACATACGAACAAAAGTACAAGCACAAATTGACATTGCAGTTTAACAAATGGCAAAATTAGTTTCAGAACTACTGCCTCTAGATGCTTCAATCCCCTTACGCACCATTCACCTTTCTTTCTATGGTGCCAGTGCAATTGCCTGTGTGGCTATAGGTTAAAAGTCAGTTAGGAAGTAATTATGAGGTGAGAGGTAAGTATTACTCTGAATCAAAATCTACCTATCAGACAGAAACGAGACAAAAGTAAACTGCTAGCTTTTATCTTAACTAATACACTTAAAGGTTTAATATTATACTGTGTACAGTATGTCTGTCAAGTAGATGGACATTCTGAAGAGTCAGCATTGGGACAGCAGCTCTTGAGTATGATGCTGGTG